GGCTGGCGCCTTAGCCGGTTGAGCTATAGGCGCCGAGCCGATTTGTCTAAATTTTTAATGAATATGTTACCTACTCCACTTTTGCGAAGTGATGGATCACGCTGAGACCACATGATACGAACTGGCTTGCCCTTAATAACATCAAAATTCATGGTGTCCAAAGCACGCTCCGCGTCAGCCGGCTGCTGGAAGTTCACATACGTGTAGCCCAAGGGGCGGTGGGTGATCATATCCCTGCAGACCTGGATGGAGACGATGGGCCCGGCCAGGCTGAACTGCTCTCAGTCACGTCGGGGTGTAGGTCCCCCACGTCGAGCGAGGCCATGGAGTAGCTGGGGGCGCTGGGGTTCATCTCCGCATGGCTGCCCGTAGGCCCACAGGCCGCGACCTGTCGGTGAGGGGAGAGTGAGTGCTGGGGCCGGGGCCGGAGCCAGGGGCGGGGGGGAGGAGAGCGGATGGCAAGCGCAGAGGGACAAAAATCAACCGAAATCGAAAACTATTCAACGGCCGCAGAACCGGGTCGGTCCGCTGCCGCTGGCTCCCGGCCGGAAGCAAGGGTGGCAGTGTTGGTCCGGGCCGCAGGAAGGCCTCGGTCTCTTGGTTCCTCCTTGGAGCTGCTGCGGGGCCGCGGGCGGTGGGTCGGTCTCGGCTGCTTCACCGGGTTATTTTATAAAAGACGAAGAAAAAAAAAAAGTCTATGGTGGGGGAGACACGGATTTTTTGTAATTTTTTTGTTTGATTTTTAAAAAATTTTTTTTAGATTTTTTTTGGACTTTTTAAATAATAAATGCGTGTTCCGAGTCCAGAGCACACACTCCGCACTCTCAGCACTAACCACCAAGGAGAACTTTTTGTTTTGTTTTGTTTGTTTTGAGACAGAGTGTCACTCTGTTGTCCAGGCTAGAGTGCTATGACATTAACCTAGCACACAGCAACCTCAAAGTCCTGGGCTCAAGCAATCCTCCTGCCTCAATCCTCCTGAGTAGCTGGGGCTATAGACACCTACCATACACTAGGCTAATTTTCTGTTTTTAGTAGAGAAGGGGTCTAACTTTGCTCAGGCTGGTCTCCAACTCCTGAACGTAATTGATCCTCCTGCCTTGGCCTCTCAGAATGTTAGAATTTCAGGTGTGAGCCACCACGCTGGGCCAGTTTCCCTATTCTTAACATCTTACATTACTGTTGTACATCTGTCATAACTAAGGAGACAATATCGGTAGATTGTAATTAAGTAAACTCCATAGTTCATTAAGATTTCACTAGTTTTTCCTCATGTCCCTTTTCTATCCCAGGATCCCATCCAAAATACCACATTGCATTTAGTTGCCTTGTCTCCTTAGCCTTCTCTGGTCTGTGGTGGTTTCCCAGACTTTCTTTGTTTTTAACCTATTGAAGAGGTCTGCCTTGTTTGTGAACTTAGTGGGAAAGCGCCAACTTTTTCTTCATTAATTATGATGCTAGTTGTAGGTTTTTTTTTTGTT